TTAATAATTTTCACATAAAAGCATGAACGTAACTCTTGAATTTCCTGCCTTTTATGTTTCATAAAGTTGTACAGTTCTTTAGAGTAATGATTTATGAGGTATACACGTTTTTCATCTCTTCGGGTCCAAAATCACTCTGACTTCTGACCTAGGGGTATTCCTTTTTAATAGCTGGGAAAGCATGCTTCTCTTTGTTTCCCTCTGTTCAACTAATACTAGTAGAAATCTCATACAAAGTCCTTTCCTCTTAATTGTAATTTTTGTATGAACACAAAACCTTATATTGGAATTTGTTGCTTGAGATTTGGATACTCAAAAGGAGAGATAAAATTTTAAATGCTCCCAGCAGCTCTGGCTTGCTCGATAGGTCATACATATTTTACATACATCTTTTGTATCTTAGATACATCTTTCGCATTGGAATGTGTAACGTGAGTTTCTTTTTATTATAAAGATGTCAGTTTTTGACGATTCTGACTCCTCATCGGTCATTGATCTCAAATCCTGCAGAGTACAGCCTCGGTAGCTCCCTAGTGTCTCCTCTTGATTGTATCTCCCAATACTTCATTCGAAATTTCTCAGGCTCTTTCTCTTTAATAGCCTTTTCACAGATAAATTTTATTGTAACCAAAGATTTTTTTTTCTAAAAGTCACAACGTGATAATTTCTCTAGAACGAAACAGTCCCCCCACCAACGCAACACTTTTCGCCAACATATCAATCGCAACAGCTGTTTTCTAGTGATTAACGACCACCTTCAAGTGATCATTCAAAAGATTGTCATCCACTTTTTCCTTAGTGATGTGCATACTTTTGATAATTCCTTTGCATTAACACGTAAGTAGATTATTCAGCCACGAGAATAACATATGACTGTGCGTATGTGGTGAACTGTGTATGTGTGTACGTATATATGCATGTATATATGTTGTATGGTGCGTGTGTGCATATATATGTTCCTGAGTATGTTGTGAGGTAGGTGTATGTGTGATGTTATATATGCGTATGTTCCTCAGCCGCTGTTGACACGACCAGTGTCCGTCTGGGCAGTGGATGTTTTTCATTTACGCGCTTTTTTTCTCTTTTTGGTACACTAATCGTGAGTGATGAACATGGATGGTACGCAG